CTCCTGACAAATCCACCGGGACTCAATTATGGAGCCTCACCCTGGTGCCTTATCAGTTCCCAAAGGCCCCACTTTTTAACACCGTAATCAGATAAAACATCCACATCCACCCTCTCAAGTCCCCTTACAGGGACCAGCAGATGGTATAGTGGTTACATCACTCGACTCCCACATGGCCAGCCACAGTTCGAGTCCTGGACTTGGTGTCTTCACACTCACATTGGGCAAGTGTGCATTCATGCCCAAGATCCTGGGCAGACACTGGAGGAGAAGGGATTGTAACATAGCCATTCTTCTTGGGAGCTGATTTCTCACTTTCCCTCTCACTGTCTCTGTCTCTGGCAAGCACACATGCCCTAAGGCAAAAACTTCTTTAAAAAAAAAACAAAAACCTTTACAACAGTGCACCAAACTTGAAGGCATGCATTCTGGGGACATACATTCAAACTGTAACAGTTTTCCAAAGGCATGGCTTACTTTAGGGCTCACACTGCCTTGGGAGCTAGAACTTCTTAGTGAAGGCCACTAGAAGAAGGTCTCCTGAGTTTACTCTTTTTTTTTTTTAAAGAATTATTTAATTTTATTTATTCATTCACTTATTTTTAATTTGGCCAGAGAGAGACACAGAGAGCAAGAAAGAGGGAAAGTGAGAAAGCAAGCCACCAGGCCCGGGACTCAAACCGTAGTATGCCATGTGGGAGCGTCCAGCACCTTAACCACCACGCCACCTGCTGGTCCCCCTGAGTTAACTCTTGTCTTGTTTTGCAGTTTGGTGCAGTGTGGCCAGCGGGAGAGTGAGGGAAATGTGGCCACAGTGTGGATCCATGAGAGGCTCCACCTACAGGTATACCGGCTTGTGCCACCAGGCTGTGAGCTGCTACTGTGGCGCTGGCCACCCTGTATGGGTCTGAGCCCCACTCAGCCCAGGCCAGAGGAAGAGGCAGCTGTGGCAGTGGTGACAGAAGTGGAGTCTGTTGGACAACAGGAAGTGAACTCCCCTGGGGAGGATACAGCAGAAGCTTGCACAGGTATGTGTGGAATAAACTCTGGCTCTTCACGTTATCACCAGAAGAGCTGACAGGACAGAGTAGCGTCATGGCTCACCGTGGTGAGGGAGAGCTTTACTGGCTTTTCCAAATCTGGTTTAAGGTGGATCTTTCTGTGAGAGGCGCAGTGGCAGGGCTTGATTAGGAGCCAGTAAGAGTCATGACATGAAGTTTAGGGTTGGATGTGGTGAGGCTAGGCTTTTCGGGCAAGGGGTGCGAAGAGTCTTGGGCTATAAATTGTCATTTGATGCTTTCTGTTAAAGAATAATGGGGGTGGGACCAGCAGTTAGCGTAATGACTATGTCGCTGGACTCCCATGTAGTCAACCGTGGTTCACATCCCGGACCTAGTAGCTTAAATCTCACGCCGGGTGCATGTGCTTGTGTGCCCAAGATCCCAAGAGGAGAATGGAGGAGAAGGAACTGCAGTGTGGCCGTCCCCCCTGGGGGGTGATTTCTCGCTTTCTATCTCTTTGTCTCTCTGTCTGTCTGGCGAGCACACACGCCCTATAGCAAAAACCTCTCCAAAAAAAGAAAAAGAATAATGGGGGGGAGGGAGCAGCAGATGACATAGCGGTTAAGGTGCTAGACTCCCACCCAGTAGACCGTGGTTCAAGTCCTGGACCCAGCTGCTTGAAACTCACACCAGGTACATGTGCATGTGTGCCCAAAATCCAGAGAAGAGAATGGAGGAGAAGGGATTGCAGTGTGGCCATCCCTCTTGAGGTGGTGATTTCTTGCTTTCCATCTCTTTGTCTCTCTCTGGCAACACACATACCCTATAGCAAAATTCTATCCTAAATAAATAAATAAAGGGGGAGCCAGTTGGTGACATGATGGTTAAGGTGCTGGACTTCGGGACCAGCAGTTAGCATAATGGCTATGCGCTGGACTCCCATGTAGTCAACCGCAGTTCGAGTCCCGGACCCAGTGGCTTAAACTCATGCCGGGCGCATGTGCGTGCGTGCCCAAGATCCCGAGAGGAGAATGGAGGAGAAGGGATTGCGGCGTGGCCATCCCCCCTAGGGGGTGATTCTCGCTTTCTGTCTCTCTGTCTCTCTCTGTCTGGCGAGCGCACGCGCCCTATAGCAAAAATCTCTCCAAAAAAAAAAAAAAAGAAAAAAAAAAAGGTGCTGGACTTCAAAATGGCTGACCACAGTTTGAGTTCCAGACTCAGCAACTTAAAAATTACACCTGGCAAGTATATGCACACCCAAATTCCAAGAGCAAAATGGAGAAAGGATTGTGATGCGGCCCCCCTAGGGGTGATTTCTCACTTTCCCTCTCTGTCTCTCTCTATTGAGCATACGTGTTGTATGGCAAAAACAAAAAATAAATAATGGCTCTGTTGCTGGGATGAACAGTACAGGTATATGCAGCTTTTTAGCATCTTTCTGAGAGGTTCTGGGAATCATAAGGTCATGTTAATGAAGATAGTAACCTATGTACAGGATTCCCAGTTCTTACTTGTCTTCTCCCGTGGCAATAGGTGGTGGTGGTTTCTTTATCTGACAGATGAGTAAGGTGAAGAAGCAAGGGTCTCGACTCCCTTCTCTAAGATGGCCTTACCTTAGGGACCGTCCAGATGAGTGGGGATCTTGCGTGGCTGGGGCACTGCAGTTCCAGAAGTACTTCCTAGGAGCAGCCACGACTGGACCGGAAGCTACACAGAGTGTGTGGCTTTTGCCTCAGGGAAGAGATTGGTGTCATAGCTCCCAGGGGCTGAGGCTCTGGCTGGGTGGGAGGAAATGTGTAGTCCCATAATTCCTTGGGGGCACTGCCTGCTACCAAGCTCTCCGAACTCCAGCACCCCACTCTTGCCTTGCAGATCCAGGTCCCCAGTCACCTGCCAGTGTCCCAGCAGAGAGTGTGGTGAGGTCTGAACAGAAGTCTCAAACCCAGGACCAGCTTTCCAAGGATGGCACACCGCCTTGCCCGTTGCTTCAGGAGGGCAGCATGGATGAGGAGTGCCCACTCCAGTCGCACGTGCCACCTGAGCCTCAGAGCAGCTCAGCCATGCAGCAGAGCCCAGAGAGCAGGGAGGCCCACTCTGCCAGGGGCACCCAGCTACAGGCCTACCGGGCCAGGAAGTTATGTGGCCCCAGTGATCAGTACCCGCCCAGAGCCAAGCCCTCAGAGCCGGGGGCCCTGAACCCTGGCTTCTCTGGACTGCCGCGGGGCCCCCCTGGCGCAGCGCGAAGCTCCCCAAAGCAGGGGCGACGGTACCGATGCGGGGAGTGTGGCAAGGCCTTCCTACAGCTGTGCCACCTGAAGAAGCATACATTTGTGCACACGGGCCACAAGCCCTTCCTCTGCACTGAGTGTGGCAAGAGCTACAGCTCAGAGGAGAGCTTCAAGGCTCACCTGCTAGGCCACCGTGGGGTGCGGCCCTTCCCCTGCCCGCAGTGTGACAAGGCCTACGGCACCCGGCGAGACCTCAGAGAGCACCAGGTGGTGCATTCCGGTGCCCGGCCCTTTGCCTGTGATCAGTGTGGCAAGGCCTTTGCCCGCCGGCCCTCCCTGCGGCTGCATCGCAAGACCCACCAGCTGCCCGCCACCCCTGCCCCATGCCCGTGCCCCGTGTGCGGGCGGCCCCTGGCCAACCAGGGCTCCCTGCGGAACCACATGCGGCTGCACACAGGGGAGAAGCCCTTCCTCTGTCCACACTGTGGCCGGGCGTTCCGCCAGCGGGGCAACCTACGAGGACATCTGCGGCTTCACACTGGGGAGCGTCCTTACCGCTGCCCGCACTGCGCTGATGCCTTCCCCCAGCTGCCTGAGCTGAGGCGCCACCTCATCTCCCACACCGGCGAGGCCCACCTGTGCCCCGTGTGTGGGAAGGCCCTCCGAGACCCCCATACCCTCCGCGCTCACGAGCGCCTGCACTCGGGGGAGAGACCCTTCCCGTGCCCTCAGTGTGGCCGGGCATATACGCTGGCCACCAAGCTGCGGCGCCATCTCAAGTCCCACATGGCAGACAAGCCCTACCGCTGCCCCACCTGTGGCATGGGTTATACCCTCCCCCAGAGCCTCAAACGGCACCAGCTCAGCCACCAGCCTGAGGCACCTTCCCAGCCCCTCTCTGTGCCTCCTATGTCGGAGCCCACCGTGGTGCTGCTGCAGGCTGAGCCCGAACTGCTGGACACCTGCAGTGAACGTGCAGTCTCCCCAGCCGGGGCCGTGGTCGAGGTCACTGTCTCAGAGAGCCAGGAGAAGTGCTTCGTGGTGCCTGAGGAGCCAGGCCCCGCCCCCAGCCTGATGCTGATCCACAAGGACGTGGGCTTCAGCACCTGGGCAGAGGTGGTGGAGGTGGAGACGGGCAGCTGACGACTTCATCTGCCCCAGGCAAGCGCTCTATAAAGACCGATTTACTAGGTTTACTAGCTGCCCCGTGTCAGCGGCGTCTTTCTCTTGGGTCTCCTGGTGGGGACTAGAATGCAGATTTCTCCTTGTGGGGCCACCAAGTTGTTTCCAAGACCATTAGGGAAAGCCTCTTCTAGAGGGGGCTCTCCTGAGGATCTCTGTCACTGTCCAGTCTGCTAGCTGCAGACTCCCCGTCTATGCAGGCTGCTGAAGGGACCCCACCTGGTCAGTTGGCTCTGCTGCCCTGCGGGGAGCTTGGTGCTGGGAGAGTGCAGCAGTAAAGTTTTCCATTGTTTCGGCCGCTTTGAGGGCTGTGCAGTTCGGTGCTGAAGACCTCTGAGATCCTTGGGACGTGGCTACGCTAGATCCGTGCCTTGTGCACCTGCCTGAAGGCAGCCCGTTCAGAGAAGGAGTAAGAAATCTACAGGTTGGTGTGTGTGTGTGTGTGTGTGTGTGTGTGTGTGTTTTGAGAGATTTTTTTGACATAGCGCATGTATGCTCGCTGGAGAGACAGCCAGAAAGTGAGAAATCAACCCCCTGGGGGAATGGCCATGCCGTAATCTCTTCTCCATTCTCCTGTGCACACATGCTCAACGTTAGTTTCAAGCCTCCAGGTCTGGGACTTGAACTGCAGTCAGCCATGTGGGAATCCAGGAACACAACCACTATACCATCTCCTGGCCCTAGAAATTGACAGGTTTTGCATCCGTTGTGGGCCTGGGCCCTGCTAGTTGGTGGGGACGTCATGGTGAGCAAGATGGGCTGGCCCCTTCACAGAGCTCATGACCCACCGGGGGGCCAGGCGGGGGCAGAAATCCCTGGGGAAGATTTTGAGCCGAGCATGACTGGGTACTGTAGATGTTTCTAAATGGGATGTCAGAGGAGGGGTCCAGGAATGCTAATGAGCACTCAGCCCTTACTGCCGAGCTGACGTCAGTGTATTTGTACAGTCTTCATAGCAACCCTATCGGCTAGGCAGTATCTTTTTTTTTTTTTTTTAAATGAAAGACTTTTTTTTTCCCTGTAGGGCATGTGAGTTCGCTGCAGAGAAAGACAGAAAGTGAGAAATAACTCCTAGAGAGGATGGACACGCCTCAATCTCTTCTCCGTTCTCTCAGGATTTTAGGCACACATGCCCATGCGCCCTGCTTGAGTTTCAAGCCGCCAGGTCCAGGACTCGAACCACAGTCAACCACGTGGGAGTCCAGCACCTTTACTACTATGCTACCTGCTGGCCCTTACAGTATCATTTTTATTTCACGTATTTAAAAAACTTATAAGAATCCCACCCAAGGTTATAAGCTATTAGAGCTGAGATTCAAACCCACATACCCTAGCAGTGGAGTTGGGTTCTGAATCTGTACTCCACTGTCCCTTGTCTGTTGTGACATGGATGAGAAGGGAAAGTGGGGTCTGGAGAGCCACATGTGGAAAATCCCTGTGAGAAGAGCCATCGGGTCTGAACAACAGACCAGCCTGGCCGAGCCGATGAAGAGGAAGAGGGAGGCAGGGTGGTTCATGCGGAACCGCACTTTCAGGACACACAACTCTGCACGATTTTGAGCAGGAGGAAGACAGATCGGTGTTGGAGAAGACCACCAGAAAATGGGCTGGCTGGCGAGATGCAGTGTGGGAAAACCAATTGGGAGGTCCCTGCCGGAGCTGGCCATGGAAATGCAGCAAAGTGGGGTCATTTATCCAACAAATACAGGGTGCTTGCATGCTGTGTGTTAGGGTGGCCATGACGGTCTCTGCCCTCAGTTCGTTCTGAGTGTGGGACAGTGAGCAGGTCCCGGTCAGATGGGAAAATAATGCAGGGTGAGGTTGAGGGCAAGAATGGATTGTGACTGACAGGTGGCCAGAGAAGGCTCCTAAGGATGTGACTTGAGCAGAAACCTGGATAGCCAAGCGGGGTGAGCTGGGTTGCTGTCCGAGGGAGGAGCTGCACCCCAGATAGATGAACGGCATGGGCAAAGTAGGGATGGGGCAGCACAGCCAAGGCAGAGCATGGTGGGGAGCAGGCAGTGAGGGCAGCATTGGGAACTGAGTAGGCCAGAGTGAGGACTCTGCATGGGTAAGTTCTTTTGGGAGGGACAGGTAACAGGATTCCACGACCAGAGAGGTAAGGGCGAGCGTTCTGACTCCTGGATTCTCATTTAAGTCAGGAACTGAGGCAGTCGGATCTGGGTAGTTCCATCTGGGTTTGGGGTGGGTTTTGGGTTTGAAGTGCTGTGGGAGAGATGGCAAGTGAGCATTTGCACGTAGGTGCAAACCTGGCGGGAGAAGTCAGAGGGAGGCACTGGTAGACGGGCAGCCATTCGAGCTGTGGGGGCAGAGGAGGCCCAGGAGCCCTCAGAGCCTGGGATGGTCCAGCCCTTCAGATTCAACAACAGGAGGAGGGCTGCTGGGTGGGGCAGGGTAGGACAGGCCTGAAAATAAGCATCCCATGAAAGAAAAACCCACCAAGGGGGAGTCACTGAAGCCGATGGAGGAGCGCCCTTGCAGTTGAGCCAAGGACAGGCACAGTGGCCTGGTGAGCTGAGTGGAAGCCCTGGGCAGCCAGATCCCATCGCTTTGGGGAGCACCGGGAGGCAAGAGGGAGGGAAAAGCAGGCATTCTTGTTTCATCCTGCTGTTCGGAGGAGTTGTCCCTGCTTCGCGGACAGGAAATAAAGGCTCAGAGCCTCCCTGCTCACCCTGCTCTCTGCCAAGTACAGGGAACGTGCAGGGTCTTCTGTTCACCCAAGCAAACACCGAGGCTGTCCAACCTACTTCCCACTAGCCTCCATTTGATTTCCTTCCTTTCCTCTTTCTCTTTTTTACTTCTTTCATGACAGAGAGACACACACTCTGCAGAGTCTTGCCCAGCCTCCCAGCCAGCCAGGCTCACGGGTGCGTGGTGTACCCTGTGTGTTCAGGGAGAACCAGGACCCAAGCCACCATGTGGCCAAGAGCACGTGATCAATAAAATGCAAAGCCAGGGTTTCGCTTATTTTTTTACAGTAAGTATATTTATCTGTTCCAAGGTGACATTGCCAGCGTCACAGATTGACATGAAATACAGTTATATATTAACTATTTACAGTTGGCAGTGGTATTTTTTTCCTTTGAAAAATATGTGAGAAACCTAAGTGAGCAATGAGGTACTGCCACCTGGGATTCATCATATGTCATAGCTGAAACTAGTCTTTAGCAAGTATTCAACAAATCAATCAAAATAGTAAAGTTTATACTCTAATTTATCAGAAAAAAATTCACTGAGTTTAACCTCAAAATGTATTGCACAAGACTTTTCTCTACTTTTTGTTTGTTTTTGCTGTAGGGCACATGCACCTGACAGAGAGACAGAGTGAGAGGGAAAGTCACTCCCCAGGGTATGGCCACACTGCAATCCGTTCTCCTCCATTCTCTTCCTGGAATCTTGGGATTGCATGTATATGCTCCCAGCCTGAGTTTCAGGCTGCCAGGTCTAGGACTTGAACCGGTCAGCCATGTGGGATTCCAGAGCCTTAACCACCACCTGCTGTCCCTGCATGAGTTTTTTTGTTTTTGTTTTTACAAGGCACATGCATTCACTAGAGAGAGACATAAAGTGAGAAATCACCCCCTGGGGGATGGCCGTGTTGGAGACCCTTCTCTTCCATTCTCTCCAGATTTGGGGCATGCATGCATATGCACTTGATGTGAGATTTAAGTCTCCTGGTCCAGGACTCAAAGCATGGTCAACTATGTGGGACTCCAGGGACATACCATTATACCATCTGCTGAACTACACAGTCTTTTTAAAAAATAATAATCACCTTAAAAGTAGTAGGAAAGGGGCCGGCAGATGGCGCTGTGGTTAATGGCATTGGACTCCCCCACATTGCCAACTGTGGCTTGAGTCCTGGACCTGGCTTGTCTTCTCACTTTCCCTGTCTCTCTCTCTCTCTGGTTAAAGTAAAAAATAATAATAATAAATAAAAAGTTAAATAAAACATGGGGCCGGCAAGTGGCATGGTGGTTAAAGGCACTCAATTCTCACATGGCCGACCACGGTTCAAGTCTCGGACCTGGTGGCTTGCTTTCTCACTTCCCCTCTCTTTCTCTGTCTCTCTGGTCAAACTGGAAAATAATAATTATAATAATAATAAAGTTAAATAAAATAATTCAAAAAATTATTTTAAAGAAAAGGCAACAGGAGAGGCAAACAGTTCTTTTTTTAAAATTTATTTTTATTATCATAATCTTTATCTTACATTGGATTGCATATAACTTTACAGTGTATTACATTGCTTTTTCAAAAGGGAATACCATGCATGTCAGTCAATACAGAGACATTAATCTCCCCACTTCATCATTCAATATCTTTTCATTGTTTTTTTCCCAATCATTATTATTATTCTAATTTTTTTAAACAGTCCTTCACTATTTCTCATTTTGCTTGTAAACAGACTTTACCCATCATGAAATACTTCTCAGACCAATCCTGTTGAGAATACTGTACATGTCATTATCAACAGGTAATAAGCCATATCTGTTTCCCACTAACGTCCTGAGGCAAGCAGTTCTTTAATACAAGAGACAGAAAGAAGGGGTGGGGCCTGGCAGTGGCATGCTGGTTAAGGGCACTGGACTCCCGCATAGCTGACCATGTTTAGAGTCCTAGACCTGGTGGCTTGCATTTTCACTTTGTCTCTCTCTGTCTCTCTCTGGCCAAACAAACAAACAAACAAAAATAATAAAAGCTAAGTAAAATAATTCTTTAAAAGAATAAAACAAAACAAACAAACAAAAAAACCAAAAGCATGTAAGGAACAGTATGTTAGCCTAAAATGCAGGTCATTTTCTGGCTTCCTAGCACTTGACCATGATGGCATCGGCAGCCCCACACCTCCGGGATTGCCACGACAGAGCCCAGCTGCCCACTCAATCTGAGTAGCTTCTGGGTAAAGCCTAAGTCTGAAATTGTCCGAGGGGAGGGAGGACTGCAGGAAATGGAGGTGACCTGTGAGAGAAAGGCCACGCCTTCTGAAGCCGGAGAG